ATTGATACAAGTATAGTAGAATCTAAGACGTGCCGACGACCACCAGATCAATGCTTTGTAATTGTGTTTAACATAGCTGATATGACCGCTTAGTCGGTAATATTGTACAATATTGTGGCAACCTTGCGGTAGTTAAAGTTGACGAATGTTATAATGTACGCACCATCCTTCCTGTGATGGTACAATCTAAGTCATATTTGACTTGACCATCGTATGCGCTGAAGAACGTTGAATTTCGAACTAGTAGTATACTAAGTACATTCATCATTTGAAAGAAATAAGTGCTGTTATTTACTCTAGAATGAAAGCATGAAATTGGGACTCTTGTCTTTCGGTATATCTTTGAAATTTAGAACGCCAATCATCTACCACTCAAAACAGAAAATTAAAATGTGTCATTTGATTAGCAAATAGTGCTTCAATCATCTACCTGAAAACACGCACATGCAAACAGAATACAAACACACACACACAATACGGCAGAGGAAATAACAATTAAACGAAGTTTTATCTTCGACGCGAGTTTTGTATTTTGGAACTGTTAATTTATATCAAAGCATTGCAATAAGATATTTAGATTTGAGTATTACTAAAGCAATGGCCGTACCGAAAGGAATAGTATATATCGAACTTTGAACAACGCTTTAGAAACTCAACATTTGGGATAAAGAAAAGATAAAAAATGGCATCACCAATGCGTGTTTGTATCTATATTTGGCATAGAGACATATGTAAAAGCCGATTATGTTCTGCTGAAAATATTGAAAAGGATATGCAACGACATGTAAAATGGTCGAAAAATACACAAAACAATGAAACAAAATATATTTTGTGATACCAGGTTACTTTTGACGAAGTTCAAACGTACATCAATTATTATATACATCTTACGACATGGAATAAATTGTTCACTTGCATAAGTGACCTACATTTATCTATGCATAAATTCACCGATAATACTATATTAACCTCTTCATCAGGACTAAAATTGGTATTGCATTCGAGCTGGTCAAAATACTGAGGTTTCATGTTTAGAATTTTAGGTAATCGATCAATTGAGAGTGGTTCCGTCCAAAAGTATTTATAATGACGTTTATAGTGAGCATTTGTCTGACCTTTTCATGAATTGCTAATTATAAAAAAAAGCTTTCTGATAACTTCATACTATTGCGGGACATTGGCAAGGCTCTCACCGTTCCTTTTATATTAACGGGATTAACATCAATGGAAAATATAAAACGAGTGTAGAACAATATAATTCTTTATATGTGTCAGTGCATGATAGTACAATTTCACTGGGGCGAAAGGATGCATACATACATACATACATACATACATACATACATACATACATACATACATACATACATACATACATACATACATACATACATACATACATACATACATACATATATATATATATATATATATATATATATATATATATATATATATATATATATATATATATATATATATAAATATATATATATATATATATATATATATATATATATATATATATATATATATATATATATATATATATATATATATATATATATATATATATATATATATATATATATATCTCAATACATATGAGATGAGATGAAACAATTTTATATAACATTTGATAGCTAAACAATAAAAGAAAAAAACTGTTGATTATAAATTAATATAAGAAATCACTGGAACAATAATGTTTTAGTTCACAACTCCTGACATAAGTGGTGGTTCTTCTTGTTTAACTTTCCATGCTAAAAGGTATTTTTCTCATCTCCTAAATTCAGTAGTAAAATCAGACATGAATGTTAAATTCACAAGAGTTATCATGAGTCAGTTTTAGATAATACAGGTTTACAATGACGCAGACATCTAACAGAAAGGTAAAAAAGTTCTCATCTCTGAACCTTGAATCTGGTCAGTGGTTTTCTATTAACCCTTCCATTTAAAATGAAAAATGAGTCGTGTTCCAACCCCATAAGACTCCGCACTTTTATATGCGCTATAAATAGCTCTTATCACCTCTTGTCGTCATCCACATGAAAACCACTAACGCAGTACTTTTATATGGAGAACGTAATATTTATGATTTGTGCTTTGGAGAGAGTACTGTAAATGTTTTAATTTTCCATTGAGCTTGGAGTGAATTTACCTGTCGTGAGGGAATATAACTATAAATCGGAGTATTAGTAAGACAGCGATATAGCTACAATTACAAAGAGCGTATTTACTCCTTATATATATATATATATATATATATATATATATATATATATATATATATATATATATATATATATATATATATATATATATATATATATATATATATATATATAGCTTGTGACTTGGTAGATTCAATGAAAAGATCGCAGTAAGTGCGCCACGTTTTGCATTCCTTTTGCTGACACCTTCATTTCCTTTTGGATTTGTTGGACCGATAAACGGCTTTAGAGCAAACAGATTTTAGAAGCACATGCTTTTATAGCAAATGATATCGAAAAACGAAATGCCGTTATTGTTGAGTGATTCGATCAGGTCACTTCTCCAAATAACGCATTCCTATTTTAATGGTGATAAGTCTATCGATAGTAGCATATGTGCATTTTTGTGTAAGTTTCTTTTTTTACCGCAGTGACTGACCAGCGCAAATACACATATGTGGACATGGTCTAGCTTAGAATAGTTTGGTTGCTGTATGTGATTGATGTCACTATGATTTATATACCAATTATGTTCCAATTTCAACCGCTGTGGCATCACCTTGTTGAATTCATCTTGGCACCCATTTATCCCATCGATATCAACTGTTGTTTGAACAGTGCCAATATTCCATCGTTTTCCGCTAAAGCCAGATCATCGGTGACACCAATAGAGACTTTCCTGACTATACTATTTAGCTGTATTGTTGACCTGGTCGGAGTGGCTAATAATGCAAATGATTGGTTTTCAACCAAATGTAATTTAGAATGTTCTATTGTGAGAGGCTGGCCGGCTCATGCACTACAACGTATGCATTTATATATATATATATATATATATATATATATATATATATATATATATATATATATATATATATATATATATATATATATATATATATATATATATATATATATATATATATATGTATATATATATGTGTGTGTGTGTGTGTGTGTATGTCTATCAGAGTTGCGAGTTACCATATTATAAATTGATTTGATACTAACCGGTTCCCCTTCCTTAATGTCTCGGGTAAATGCATTAACTCCTAATTCAGTCATGAATTTGATCAATCAGCTATTAAACCGACAAAAATCTAATTATAAGAGAACACTGCTTATTCAATTTCAATTTCTTTCTTAAAGTAAATTTCTTTTCTTTAAAAGGATTCAAAGGTGTTGTGCACATTACCCGGTTGGGGTGCGTGGGGTTGAGGTGGACGGCGTTGGCAAATGACGATATATAAAGCCATCCATGCCGTGTAATGCAACTCCACAAGTGCCATTGTGTTAAGGTAAAAAGTAAAATTATTCACATCTTATCCTCCTCGTCCCCTATTCATATGCAAATGCGAGTGGAATTTATTGATCAATGTCTGTTCTTTAAATAATGAATCTACTGAAAATCTTAAAATCAGTTCCTCGACATATCCGACTAAAAATTCATCTATGTGAATATTAATTATATTTTATAACTATTCGAAAGACTTTTTATCCGTATTTAGTATAGTAGTTGTATTTAAACATTGGACACAAGTTTAATGTTCAATGCAAATCATATCCATGGAAGAGAATTAAATTGTTTTAAAAAACAGCTTGAGTCGACTCGCAATGTATGGTAAGTGTTTAGTTTAGAACTCTTATTAAATTTATGAAAATTTTTTTAAAAAAATTTGGTTTGTAGAAAAGGTAAAGGAATCTTGTGTAAATGTCACTAATTAAACATTTGATATATGTATTCATCTCAGCTCAAAGCCATCATGGTTAACATAATAATGAAAACATAACCGTACCGAATTTTCATATTAATCAATTTTATTTACTATAGACACAAATATTTCATTCGAAACAGTTCAGTATCTTAAAGCAATGGTTTGTTAACTACATGTGAATAACAGTGGATAGGAAACAAAGATGTTCAGTGATTATTTTGACCACCAAAACTATGATAACTGTATGAGATGTTTATTTTTCCGTTAAGCTGTTTCTATAATTTTGAATTAAATTTAATAATAATTAAAAGGAACAAAATACTTTATCCAAAGAGCATAATGCATGGTGACCATTAACAAATTTTTTCTTGCAGTTCTCAATGTACTTGACAAAACCTGTGCAAAAACAAATATCACGTTTACACTCCAGCAAAACAATCATGACTGCGTTTATAGTTGATATTATTTTTTCAAGACCCCGATAATTCCTTTCAGTCGAAGTTACTATAAACAATGAATAAGTAAGTCTGAGCTCTGATTAATAGCAATGCGTATCTTGGAAACCATCATACCTACAACCATTGGCCTCCATTTTGCCATCTTGACCATCCATCGCGCCTTTATTTTCAAACATATCATGCAGAACACAAAACATGGCGATATATCTTTCTTTTGTTTCATATATCACGTTTACTCCAAATATTCTTTAGACTTTTTTCATCCGAATTTGCATCCCCTCGGTTCCGTCTGTCACTAGCGCGAACTTGACAACAAAGGCACGCTATAAACTTTGAGATATCAAAGTTATCTTATCTTGTAGTAGTCTTATCTTGAACCATTTGAAAAAAGTGATGTGATATGATTGTGACTTTTTAAGTTATGTCGGTACGATGCCTGCAGTGTGGCAACTTATTGTGATGTCTAGCACTGAGGCATCATGCCGCAGATTTTAGCATAATGTGCCACCCAGTCAAATTATCCTAGCTCCAGTCAGAACAGATCTAACATTAACCTCTTAATGCTAAGCGTCAAACAAGGAAGCTGTTAGCACCAATTTTGTATGTCTTTGGTATGACTCGACAGGGGATAGAACCCACAACCTCCAGCATCCGAGGCAGACGCTCTAACCACTAAGACACTTGAGCAGTTTTAAGAGAAGAAATATTACAAATAAATAAGTAATCTAAGTTATAAATTATATACTATGCACAAGGGTTTATTCCTAGATTAGACACACACAGAAAACGTTTTAATATTGACAAATTAACATACACAATCTTCATAAATAAATAGTTCGAAAAGTGTCTGCTGCTATGAACATAGCTTTAAATACAAGTCACAAGTTATGGTCTCTTTCTCTCTCTCTCTCTCTCTCTCTCTCTCTCTCTCTCTCTCTCTCTCTCTCTCTCTCTCTCTCTCGTAAATATATAATATGCCTAACTTTCATGTGATGAATTTGTGATGGGTGTAAATATGACTAATATATATATATATATATATATATATATATATATATATATATATATATATATATATATATATATATATATATATATATATATATATGACTTTTGTTTTCGATTACTGCAATATTACCCTATATCCGGACTCACATTGAAATGCCTTTATTTCAGTACAGCTCAAAGAGTCACTTTCCCTAGCATGCTCCAAAGCTTTCTATTCTAGACCATGTTTGCTAACGTTTGCAAGCAGAATCTATAATAATTTTCAATTTGGAGATGTATTCATCACCACCCAAGTGGTATATAAATCCTTGGTGCGAAAATATAAGTTCGACGAGGCAATCTAGGTTACGTGTTTCAAATTACATTATACCGACTGCATCAAATAAGAGAATATAATCATAAATTAAAAATGAAGCTGTGGTAAATAAATTTATTCAGATCCGTGCATGCCTTGAAAAATGTGTCGTATGTGCCATACCACTCATACAAGAGTGTCTTAACGTAAGAGATGCTGTCAAGATTCTCTCTTTAAGTTATCTATTATATTTATATTCCTCCTTAAGTAAACGCTTATATCACAAAAATATATATGTCACTTTTGTTTTCGATTACTGCAATATTACCCTATATCCGGACTCACATTGAAATGCCTTTATTTCAGTACAGCTCAAAATTTTTTACGTTGATCAAAACTCAATATATTATGGTAAAGGGGTCACATCACAGCAGATAATTTAAACCTAAATATTTTCATTCGAACCTTTATAAGACAATGTGCGTTGTAAATCATTTTTGGAGATTTTAAGCACATACTAAACATCATCTACATTATTAAAGTTTAAATTAGTAACGTTTATGAAAGTTGCTTCACGCTGATTATTTATAGTCATTTAATAATCACAATAACACATTTTAATTATGTTCATATTTTAGACATTATTCCAATTTCGGGCCAGTAATTAGCAATACAACCCAACACGTAGCTTTGGACGATTTGTCCACTAATCATCTGTGATCCTCTCAAAATGAATATTTTAATATATCGGTTCAACCGTTTGAAAGAATATATTAAACTGTAAATGATACATACATACATACATACATACATACATACATACATACATACATACATACATACATACATACATACATACATACATACATACATACATACATACATACATACATACATACATACATACATACATACATACATACATACATACATTTAAATATATACTTCTAACGATAGAGTTTAATTATTAGACAAATAATTGTGCCAAATCTAACATCTAAAACTGATTATTTCTTCAAAGAGCCTGTCAGATATTCCTGCTGTCCTTAATTTTGATTTCTCCAAACAATATATACCTCCTTGTCATGATTTAATCCAAATGTGGGCTGTTAATTAATAACAACACCCTAGTTTTAGTTTTTCTATAAAATTTTAACCATCAGCGATGATTTATCATTGTATTTCTTTTTCAGTAAGGTATTTAATTAATATTCAATATATTTGGTATTATTATTTAAATGCAGGTCAGCATTGTTTTAAAATTAAAACGTAAAGTCTAAAATAGAAAACTGGTATCCTGTTCATGGACATAGGATAAAAAAATCATGCTGCATGATATTATTATGAACAACGGTTTATTCAAAGCTTTAGAACACCGCAATGAAACCTAAACTAACAGGACACCTCTGTTGGGAAGATGACTGACATATTTTGTATTGGAGAAGATTCATGCTGAGCCTGATTCCCTATATTGCTAAATCTTGATTTAAAATGTGTTTGATTATTTCGCAATAATTTGTATTAATACAAAGCGTGTGAAGGTTACAGTGTTTTCAATCTCTACTTGAGTTGCCTTTAACGAAGAATCATTTTCTTCACTTTAAAGGCAATAAGCTGAATCATTGTAAGCTTGTCACTTCATTATCAGATATAATGGTTATTTGTTTTCAATACTGAAACCAGCGAACTGTACCATCTCGCTTGAGGTAGCTTGCAGTAACTCAATTGGTCCGAGATATACATTTTCAATGAGTCAGGTCTGATGGAAATGTGTTTTTTAGAAGCAACATAGATTATAAGGCTGATAAACGTTTGAAATTGCCATGTTTTCATTAAAGCCCCGTAAGGAAACGTTAAACAGACGTTGATCTGTGTTGCTGATGTTGTTTGCACGTATGTGTATGTTGCAGAGTACAGTAATCTTACTTCTGTAGAGTATTCACGCTATCTGCCATCTATTGTATCTAAAGTGTTTGTTCAATTATAATTGTTTACAATTTCGTACGCGACTAAGATGTTACCAAACTGACCCAGAAATAGAAAATTGTAAATGTAAATGTCTCACCCTTACTCATTATTGAATATATTTTGAACATTTAAATATATAGAATTCAAGTAATCTTGTTCTCCAATTCTCCATCAATGCTATGTCTAATAACACTGCCATAAAATTCACACATTGTATGAAACATAATTGGTATTCGTTGAAAAATATATATTGTACAATTTTGTTCTCTCTCAATTTCCACTGTGTTTAAAATATGTCCAATATTTCATCCAGAATATTTATGTGCTAAGATTGCCAATTTTGTACATATTAAAATAGTTTGTAAATTCATGTCACGAAAGAGCATTGAATTAATAGCTCTCCAAGAAACATATTGTTTTATTCTCACGCAAACGTTATTCAAGCTTCCGATGTCGTTTTAAAACTACAAAATATACAATGTCTTCTACAATGATATAGTTTTAAGTTTGTTTTTGCTTCGTGATTGGATAATTTGTTAATGATGTCTTGATAATAAAATATAAATTATATCCTGACAATGACTTAATAATATATGGTATGGGTATTTTTAATTAAAACTACTTATAGTCCATGATGGAGCTATGTGCTGTCTAATAAATTCTTCGTTCGTGGCGTGGATAGCTCAGTTTAAGCAGTAGCTCTCCGTGTTCCACCTGACTACTATCCTTTAATTTACCTGTTGAGGTAATTAATTTCCTTTTTATATCGTATCCACACGAATCGTCTTTTACACAAATAAGACGTACATTAATGTGTACTTTGTTCTTTTATCTTGATTCCATATTGGTTACTAAAACACTATAAAAAGCAAATAACCGTTTCCATAATCTTCTTTTTATTGTATTATTTATTATGAGCTAATATAATACGGCATATAAATGATCATCTTAAAAATATATTCAGGTAGTTTTATAAAGGATTCATACGGTGAGTCAATAACCATTTCCGGTCGATAGCTATCTAGGTGAAACGAACGATAATTTATTTTAACAAACATCTGAGGTGAATCTGGAGAAGTGTTTTGATCAAGTGTTTTCTAAAATGTATATGCCTGGTATTATGCCACGCATATATTAAACTTTCCTTTCTATTCTATGTATGTGTATTATGTTTATTACTATTGATGTATTGAAATGTTCAATAAACATCTTTCACGCTTGGTTGAATCTATAGCTCAACTTGGTTTTTAATGAATTCTATCCCCTTTTTACTTACCATCGCAAACATGTATAGTTATTATTAACAAAATATAAAGAGGAACACGGATTAAATATCATCTTATTGTAGTCTCCCGCATCAACATCTAAATTCGTTTAAATTTATATTGTATGAATTTGCTATGCATTATTATGATAATTAAATTAATTGGACGGCTTAGTTATTGGAAATTATGATCTAAGAGTAAAAGAGACTGAATTCTTCCTTTTACACAAAATGTGATTTGTTGAATGTGATTAGTTTCGCAATTTACTAGTATGCTTTTTATTAATTGAAATTATGTGAAGAAAATTTTATAAGTAAATACTCAACCTTTCTATACACTAATGCCAAAATCTCAACATGTTAATTTTTGTTTTATATCTGTATATTTCCATTACTAGAATACATTTGTATTCAATTTTATTCATTCTGTATAAGTTATCATCCTTTTTGTGTATTACAATGTTTCATGTGATCAAAGGATTATTTTCACCTCATAAATTGTACGTATTACTCTCTTACACGTACATTCCATATGATCTATACATGAATCTGATATTATTTTACCAGGTATAGAAACATAATTGTATTTACATTTAGGTTTGCTAGCATTCCAAATTTACTTCTTTCAAATCTGGTTTCAGTAATGCAAAGACGGAAACGCTAAATTACACAGAAGCGAGATTCTAAAGGCTATCATTTTTCTTATCAATTTAATCATAAATTTTCTCAGCCTTGAACACTATTGTGATTGTGTTATTGAAGTAAACATACACAAACTCGTAAAATATCCCTTTCATACCCCCTCCATTTACAACTTCCATTGAATGAACAATTGGTTCTTGTAAAACATTTATATATGATTCGAATAGCTCTTATCAGCTATTGTCGTCAACAACATGATAACCATTAAGACCTGGTACTTTTATATGGAGATCTGAATATTATATTGTATTTGGAGAGGGTAATGTAAATATATAATTAGTTTTATGACCTTGGAATGAATTTACCGGTCGTGATGGAATATAGCTATAAATCGGAATATTTGTAAGTAAGCGATGTAGGTATATAAATTGTGTTTACTCGTAGTATCTTTAGTTTGGGAATTGGTAGGTCAATGAAAACATCGCAAATAAATGTGCCACGCTTCATATT